CCCAGTAAACGGGCCACTCGTCGACCAACGCCTGCAGGCTCTGCTGAATGGTGAGCGGCGCCGCACCAGCGGTGTTGGCTGGCTTCGCATTCCAAGAGCCGTCTCCGTGACAGCATGGATGCCGCCTGAGCCCGTGGCGACAGAGTGCAGCACCCAGCCGTTGTAGTTCTTGGAGGCTTGATCGAGACCCGTCTTGACCATTGCCTCGGACCAGCTGAAACACGCCGCACTGATCACCTCAATATGATCAAGGGAGAAATCCTGCGCGCCGCTGGTGATGATGCTGACCACGCCCTGCAGCTCAGTGAGGTCGGACGGCGGCCTGCCCGCTAGCCTGCCCAATGCACGCAGGGCGCCGAACTTGGTGAGCGGCCGCTCGATCTGCGCTGCGTCGCGGAGACAGATGGCCAACGACCTGCACCAGGTCGAAGCTCGAGTGACGCGCGGCAGCCTAGGCGGCGACGGCGCCGTGGCTGCGGTGGCTGAAAGCCTGGGCCGTTCCGCGCGGCCTGAATACTTGTCGAGGTCGTGGATGAGCCCGCGCGCGTCAATCATGTTGACCTCAGCCTGTTTGACGAAAGCCTGCCACTTGCTGCCTGGGTCGGTCATGCGCTCGAGCTGGTCACGAACGGCCCGCCAAGCTGGGCCATGATCCTGCGCGCAGCAGGCCAGCGGCCTGGGCAGAGGCAGCCGCTTGGCCGCGCGCATGACGGCGACCTTCTGTTGCCTGCTCGGGCCAAGCAGCTCGAGCGCAGCTGGATAGTGCGGGCTGAGGTCCAGCCCGTGGATAGCGCTGGCCTTTGCCCCGCGGAAGAGTCTCGAGACCACGAAGTAATCGATGATCCTGCCTGCAGGTCTGCGCGCGGCCTCCGCGGGCGCGGCAACGACCGCCTGCGCCGCCTCTAGCCAGCCAGACTCTTCCAATACTGACGGCTCCATGCTGAAGTCCCCGCGCACGATGAAGGGCCTGTTGGCCGCCTGCAGGGCCTTGAGCACCGCGTAGAGGGCGTCGGCATTGCTCTGGTTAAGCCCGACGTTGACCTCCAGATGCGCGCTGACCCACGCGACGCCGCCTCTGCAGGCGCCATTGAGGTGGGAGATGATGGCGCGACCAGGCTCCAGCACCGCCTGCTTGCCGAGCAGGTCGAACGGCCCGAACCCGAGGTGCTGGGGCGCCATCTGCACAAGGCCTCCAGTGCCTTGGGAGCCCAAAATTTGCGTTGATCGCTGGCGCGGCCTCCGGGGCCCATCCGGGCAGTCGAAGCTGTCCTTGGACGTCTTGGGTGCGCTGCGAATCCAAATGCGCCCCTTGAGCGGCAGCGGAGCCGCAGCACCTGACAGTGGCTGTGCCAAGCAGGTTGGCGAACCTCGACCACGCATTGCAGTTTGCCGTGCGGCCAACCCACCAACGCCCTTGCTTGTCCGCCGTCCTGGGCATGAGAGAGGAACGATTGCCGCCGATGGCCCCGCTGAGGCCGCCACCCCGAGGTCTTGGAGCGCCTGGCGGCCCTGGGCGTGTCCAGTGCCTCCTGGAGCTTCTTCCTCTCGTTCTCGTCCGCAGCGCTGCCGAGAAGCACTCCGGGATCCTCGCCCTCCATGAACTTGTCGAACTCGTCGCTGCCTGGATCTCCCGCCACGGGAGCATGAGCCTCATCTGCGCCACCACCTGCGCCTGCACCAGCAGCGCCTGGACCCCCACCTGCGGCTGGCACAGCGCGGGCAGGCTCTGGCTCGGGATGTAGTGGGGCTGATTTCGACCCGAGGTGTTTGCAGCGAAGAATTGTCACTGCCCTGCGCGCTCGGAGTAGACACGACCACGGGCAGGAAATCGGCACGCCGGCCCCATCCAGGGACCAAATAGTCCAGGCCTGGGTAACGGCGAGGACCTTTGCTGGGGCGCAGTGCCCATGGGCCCACTTGCGGGAGCAGCCCTTCCCGGACGACGCAGCCATCTCGCCCAGAATCGTGGCGAGGCTAGCCAGGACCTCAGCGCTCGACTTGCCCTCTGTGTCGATGGACGCGACCTTGCCTTTGACGGAGCGGAGCGCGTCCTCGGCCGTGGTGGACGAGCAGAGCTTCGCCGTTCACTGCTTGGCCTGCTCGAGCTCCGCTTTGCGCTCGGCGAGGGCCCGATCCGCTTCTGCCAGCGCCTCCAGAGCCCTGCGAGAGTTTTCCGAGAGGCGCTCACGTTTGGCTGTGGCGTCGGCGACGGCCAGCGATGCTTGATCGATTGCCAGAGGGAGCTTCTGCGCCTCCGAGCCCAAGACACCAGCGGCTGCCTTGCGACGTGCCAGCTCGACCTTGTCTCGACTGCTGCGTGAAAGTCCGTCCTTGACGAGCTGCAATCTTCTCTGGCGAGAGCGTGAGGGTCGCGGGGGCAGCATGCCCTCCGCCGTTAGGCCCGAGCCCTTCGCCACCACGCCCTTTGCCGCCGCCGCCTTTGGGTCCCTGCTTGGCCCAGGGAGCCCCGAGGTTGCCGCCGCCGACTGCCCACTTACCCCAAGGCTTGTGGTTGTCGTTCGCTGCTGGTGCATTGTGGTCCGTCTGCTTGCCCTTACGGCCAGCGTTGATACAGAGTGAGAGATGTTGTGGCGTAGAACCTCCGCACCGCACGCACTGCCAGCACTTCGCCATGGGAACCAGAGGGTCCAAGCGAGCAGGCAGAGTCGGAACAAGACTGCGCACCCTCGGGCTGAGGGGGACAGGTGATGACCAGGGGCGGACCTGGCACCACAAGAGGATGAATCGCAAGCTCGGGGAACAGAGCTATCCCGCTTTCGCCTGGAGGCTTGCAGCCTCCCGAGCATGGAGCCTTGAGCCAAAATGGCTTGAGCCAAAATGGTTAAGGAGCCGCAGGGGCCTTCGGAGGAGCTCCCTTTGGGGCCCCGATCCTCGTGAGGGGTGTGCCGAAATGGGTGCGGGGACGCATGTAAACCCTGCCGCTGGGGCTTTCGGTGGAGCTCCCTATGGGGCCACGATCCTAGTGAGAGGTGTGCCGAACTGGGCAGGGGGACGCATGCAAACCCTGCGGCTGAGGCCTTTGGTGGAGCTCCCTATGGGGCCACGATCCTCGTGAGGGGTGTGCCGAAATGGGCGGGGGGACGCATGCAAACCTTGCCGCAGGGGCTTTCGGTGGAGCTCCCAATGGGGCCACGATCCTTGTGAGGGGTGTGCAGAAATCAACGGGGGGACGCATGCAAACCTTGCCGCTGGGGCCTTCGGTGCTCCCTAGGGGGCCACGATCCTCGTAAGGGGTGGACATCAGCGGGTGGACATGCGGCGAGCAGAAGCCGGAATGGGAGGAGGGAGGAGGGGGAGGAGGTGGAGGAGGAGAGGAGAGGAACGCAGGGCGCTGTCTCTTCAAAACGAAAACCCAATACCACAGGATGGTTGGGGAAAAGACGAATACTAATACTTAGTAATGTTATCAGGCCGATAATACGAATAACAATACTAAACTATTAACATAAGAGCAGGAGGAGGAGGAGGAGGAGGAGGAGGAAGAGGAGGAGGAGGAGGAGGAGGAGGAGGAGGAGGAGGAGGAGGAGGAGGAGTACGAGGACGACGAGAGAGGGGGAGGAGGAGGAGGAGGAGAGGAGGAGGAGAGGAAGAGAGGAAGAGGAAGAGGGAGGGGGAGGAGGAGGAGGAGGAGGAGGAGAGGAGGAGGCGGAGGAGGAGGATCTGGAGGAGGGGAGGAGGAAGAGGAGGAGGAGGAGGAGGAGGGGGGGGAGGAGGAGGAGGAGGAGGAGGAGGAGGAGGGAGGAGGAGGAGGGAGGAGGAGGAGGAGGAGGAGAGGAGGACGAGGACGAGGAGGAGGAGGAGGAGGAGGAGGAGGAGGAGGAGGAGGAGGAAGTGGGGGGAGGGGAGGGGAGGGGAAGCGGGCAGGCGGAGACAGGTAGGGAGCAAAAGGGGGATGAAGAGAGGAGGTGCGAAGGTGACGCGAGGGAGGGAGGGAAAGAGTAGATTGTGACACGGCTGGCTGGCCCACTTGAGTGTGACGAGACTCTGACGTCTTCCAGTACGAGCTGCTACGATCGCCATCGCCGTCATCCGCGCTCTTTCAACTGCCAATCGTTGTCGTGGTCGTGCCTGCGGTCGGCTTACTTCAACAGTGGCTGCCTGAACGATCGTTCTTTTACCGTCTCTGTCTATAGCTGCTGCTACTTTGGTTCGGGGCAGGTGGCGGGCGCGCGCGTGCCCCTCCGCGTGAGCGGGGTCCGCACGCTGGCAGGAGCTTCTGCCACCATGGATCCGGCGGCGCAGCCGCCAAGTTTCGCCGCATCGCTGGACAGGCTGAAGGACCAAGCGGACGGGGGCGGGGAGGGGGAGGTGGAGGTGGGGATGGAACGGGTGCGGGAGCGGAGGGAGGGAGTGAGGGATGGAGGTGGAGGCGGAGGGAGGGAGTGGAGGGGGAGGGAGGGAGGGAGTGGAGGGAGTGGAGGCGGAGGGAGGGAGGGAGGTGGAGGCGGAGGGGATGGGGAGGTGGGGGTGGAACGGGTGCGGGAGCAGAGGTGGAGGCGGAGGGAGGTTAGTGAGGGAGGGTGGAGGAGGGGGGCACGAGGTGCCCCTCCCCTCCCCGCCCTGCTCCTCGCCCTCCTCTCGGCCCTCCTCCTCCCCCCGTCCTCCTCCTCCCCTCCCCGTCCCCCTTCCGGGTGAGCAGCCCCCCTCCTCCTCTGTCGTAGGAGCAGTTCCCCTCACCTTTGCCCCCCCCCCATCCTTTTCCTGGACTTTTCCCCCTCATTCGCCCTCCCTCGCCTTCCGCGCCCTTCCTTGTCTCCCCCCACCTCCTCGACCTCGGCCTCCTCCCTCAGTCCTCATGGCCCTCCTCCCCCCCGTCTCCTCCGCATCATGATTCCCTTCCTCTCGTCATGCTCGCCCTCCTCCTCCTCCGCCTCCTTTCCCCCTTCCACTGCCCTTCCCTCCCCAACCCAGCCCCCCCGATCCTCCCCTTCCTCTCTCTCGATCCTCTCCTGTCCTCCCCTCCTCCTCCCACTCCGAAGGAGCAGCTTCTGCAGCAGCACGACCAGGAGGTCGCGCAGCTGAGGGGCGACCGACCGACCGGCCCGGCCGAAACCGGCCCCCGCCGCTAGTGGGTGTCCCGAGGGGGGAGGGGCGGCAGGGATCCTGCGAGGAGCACGAGCAGTCAGAGCCCCGAATCATCAGGGGTAACTCGGGTCAGGGCTAACTCGGGTTCGTTTTCCGGGAATCCGAGCCCGAGTTGCCCCGGGCCCGAGTTACCCCGGATCACTCGGGCGCCCGAAGCAGCAGTGGCAGCAGCAGCAGCGGGGGCAGGAGGCAGGAGGAACGCTCCCCGCCCCCGCCGCCCCTTCGCCCCCTGCCCGCCCTCCGCTCTTCGCCCCTCGCCCTCGCCCTCCTCCCTCCCCCCGTGTCTCCGCCTCCCTCCCCGCCAGCCATGTTCGGCCTCGCCCTCGCCCTTCTCTCCCCTCCCGCCCTCCCTACGGGGCGTGTAAGCGACCACAGCCACTGCTTTTCTTTTGTTGCCGCCTTCCAGCCCGCAGAAGCAAAGCAGTGGTTGTGGTCATGTTCGTTGAGCTTGGCACCAGGGAAATGACCACAAGCACTGCTTCTTTTTCGGCCGGCTGGAAGGCGGCGCAAACAAGAAGCAGTGGCTGTGGTCATTTTCCCGTCCCGCACTCCCCCGCTCTCGCCCTCCTCCTCTCGCCGCCGTTGTCGTCGTGGTCGTCGTGGTCGTCGTCGTCGTCGTCGTCGTCGTCGTCGTCGTCGTCGTCGTCGTCGTCGTCGCCGGGCGCGGCGCGCGGCGCGCGAGGCGAGTGCGGCCGGCTCGCCGCGGAGGTCGCCCACCTCCGCGCCGAGCTGCTCGGTGGGGCCCGCGCCGCGGCAGGGGCGGCCTCCCCGGGGCAGGGCGGCGCCCCTCCTCAGCGCGACGCGCGCGGGGCGGGCGGCGGGCGGTGGTTCCGAGGTGGGGCGCTGGAGGTTCGAAGTCATGTGACGCTTGCGTAGGTTTCTGAGGAGCTTCCAGCCTCGCGATGCTCTCCAGCAGCTGCGCCTCGCCGGGAGCGTTCCGGGGGTCCCCACATCGTCCCGAACGGCCGCTGGAGGCCCAAGTCATGGCATGAAAACCATCGGGGGGGAGGGTGCGGACCGGGGGGGGGGGGGCGGGCGCCTCGGTCGCTCATCATCGCCCCCGCCCGGGATCCTCGCCGATCGTCTGGCGGGCGTCGTCGGTCTCGTCGTCGTCGTCGTCGTCGTCGTCGCTGTTGCAGCCGTCGTCGCCGCCGTCGTCGCCGCCGTCGTCGCCGCCGTCGTCGCCGCCGTCTTCGCCGTCGCCGCGCGCGTCGGTCGCTCAAGATCGGCTTCGCGCGGGCATCCTCGCCGATCGTCTGACGGGCGGCGGGCTACCCCTCCAGTCCCTTCTGTGCATTCGGGGGGAGGGGGGAGGCACTTCAGCGGCTGCCGAGGCACATCCTGCAGCGCCTGGGCGTCGGAGCAGGAGTGGGGCGGCGATGATTGTGCAGCTACGATGGTGGGAGGTGATCGGGGATGACGGTCTACCCTGGTGGTGATGATGGTGAGGTGTGTTGATGTTGATGACGGACTCATTGAGTGGTGCATGGTGTTGATAGTCGTATCGATCATACTGATGATGCGGAAGGGTGGCGAGGATGTCGATCGGTGGTCGCCATGTGGTCCCAGTCATGCCAGTGAAGTGAGCAAACATCACATGGATCGGCGTGCGCAAAAAAGTCGAGCTCTCGCGACCCCTCGGTGTCAAACGTTCAGGGCGTTCCCCAAGTAAATCTGTGTTCGGCCTGGGACATCAGGGCAACTCTGTTTTGGAGTACCCGCAAGATGCGCCAGCTGCATTCCTGCAGTCGTGGGCACTTTACGAGGCGATGGTGGTGCCAATGATGGTGCTGATATTGTCGATGCTCCTGATGATTGCGACGATGATGATGATGATGATGATGATGATGATGATGATGATGATGGTGATGATGATGATGATGATGATGATGATGATGATGATGATGATGATGATGATACTGATGATGATGCTGCTGATGATGATGATGATGTGGATGTGGGTGGTGGCACTGCTGCGGATGATGATAATGACGATGATGAGAATGCTAGTGATAATGTCGATTCTGATGATGATGATGATGGTGATGATGATGATGATGATGATGATGATGATGATGATGATGATGACGAGTATGATTATGATGATGATGGCGACGAATACGACGACGATGAAGATGAGGAGGAGGTTGAAGATTATGATGATGCTGGTGAGGATGGCGAGGATGGTAATGAGGATGATGCTGCTGCTGATGATGATGTGGATGATGATTTGGATGAGGATGATAATGCAGATGGTGATGATCATGATGATGATGCTGATGATGACTTCGGCAATGATGATGATGATGATGATGATGATGATGATGGTGATGATGATAATGATGTTGTGGATGATGATGATTCTGATGATGATGTTGACTGCGACGACGACGACTACGACGACGATGATCATGATGAGTAGGAGGAGTCTGAGGATCAGGATGAGGATGAGGATGTGGAACAAGACGATGTTGATGATGCTGATACTGATGCTTATGATGATGGTGGTGACACTGATGTTGATGATGATGTTGAGATGCTGATGGTAATGATGACGACGACGGCGACGAGGATGATGATGCTGATGATGATTATGATGATGAGGTTGCTGCTGCTGATGATGATGATGATGCTGATGACCATGTTGATGATGCGATTTATTTGTTTGATGTATCGGTTGTTTGATTGATCGTTTGATTGTTTGATTGTTTGAATGGTTCGCTGACCAATTGATTTGTCGGGTGCTTACGTTACTGATGATGAAAGGAATGATGATGATGATGAGGATGCGCAGCCTTGGAAGAAAGAGGAGGAGGAGGCTGAGGTGGAAGATGATGAGGACGGTGATGGTAGAAGTGATTGTGATGATAACGATGATGATACTGATGATGATGATGCTGATGCTGCTGATGATGATGATGAGGATGATCATGTTGATGATGCTGCTGAGGATCATGATGATGTCGCTGATGATGATGCCGATGATGATTATGATGACGATGATGGTGAGGAGGAGGAGGAGGACGGGGACAATCATGATATTGGTGGTTGTGAGGGGTGTCGGGGGGATGCTGGTTACCCTGGTGCTGTTGATGGTGAGGGATGTGGACGCTGATGACGGACGCATTGATTGGTGTATGGTCTGCATAGTAAGAACGGTCATGCTGATGATGGGGAAGAGGAGGATGTCGATAGGTAGTCGGCATATGGTCCCAGTCATGCCAGTGAAGTGGGCAAACATAACATAGAACGGCGTGCACGAAAATCGAGCTCTCGCGACCCCGCGGTGTCAAACTTTGAGGGGGTGCCCCAAACAAACCATTGTTCGACGGGGGACATCGGGGCAAGGCTGTTTCGGAATGTCCGCACAAGATGCGTCAGCTGCATTCCTGCAGTCGCGGGTGATGGTGATGCTGTGCTGTGCTGTTGCTGGTGATGGTGGGTCGAGGACGATGCCAATGATGGCGGTGATGGTGATGCTGTGCTGTTGCTGGTAATGATGTTCATTATGTTTTTTGTTTCGATGTGCTGGTGGATTGATTGATTGGTGATTGATTGGTTTGTTGACAATGCTTGTGATAGTGATGGTGAGGATGATGATGAGGAGCAGCGCAGGAGAACGTTGAGGTCGAGGAGGTGGACCAGGTGGAGGATGGAGAAGGACGGAGGGCTGAGGAAGGAAGGATGGATGACAGATCATGGTGATGATGGTGATGATGGTGATTATTCTGATGATGATAATGAGGAGGATGAGGGTGTGGATGAGGATGAGGATGAGGATGAGGATCAGGACAATGATGATGATGATTATGATGATGTTGTTTCTTGTTGTTGTTGCGGATGACGACGGTGAGGATGATGATGTTGATGATGACTATGACGATGCTAATTATGATGATGATTAGCATGATGACGATCATGATGCTGCGGCTGATGATCATGATGATGAGAAAGTTAGTTATGATACTGACGGTAGTGATGATGATGATGATGACGATGATGATGCTGATTATGAGGATGCTGGCGACAATGATGATGATGCTGACTATGGTGATGATGCTGATGATGAGCATGATGATGCTGCTCATGATACTGCTGATGCTGATGCTGATGCTGATGATTGCGATGATGATGCTGATGATGATGATGCTGATGCTGATGGGATGATGATGATGTTGCTGATGCTGATGCTGATGCTGATGCTGATGCTGATGCTGATGCTGATGCTGCTGATGCTGATGCTGATGCTGATGATGATGATGATGATGATGATGATGATGATGATGACGATGCTGATGATGATGATGATCAGGACTTCGGACCCTAGCATGTTGGTCGACTCGGCAGCCACCGCCTCTTGTCAAAAGTGCCGTCTATCATGTCTTCAGAGGAGAATCGCTTACACCGGCTCCGGCCCCAACCCCGTCTCCAGCGCCGGCTCCGATTTTTGCTGCGACTTCCGTCCAACAGCGGCTCAGGCTCATACTCAATCATCAACGCTGGCCCCTTTCCCAGATCCGACTCCAACACCGACACCGGCTCCGATTCCAGCTACGATTCAGTGTCCTCTCCACTACGACCGACAACATGACCGCTTCCACCCCCGCTCTCATTGCCACCACCGCTACTCGCTCGAGGATGGGCTGGCATCCCCCGCACCATGCCCTGTGCGCTTCCGATTTATTCTCCACGACCCCATCCTAGGGTCTCCATCGGTAGAGAGCTCGGCGATCATGAGCATGACATCGACGTCAGCCCAGACACCATCACCGACATCACCGACGCCAGCACCGAAACCACTAACGGCAAGAGCACCAGCGCCAGCAATGACCCTTGAGCTCAGAAGCAAGGTGGCCCTTGAGCCCAGCACCGGCAGTCCTCTCAGCCACCCCAGGCGCCATTCCAGCCGCTTGCCCGCCAGCGCCCCCGAACCTCCTGAGTGAGGGGCTTGGCGTCAGCCGTAGCAGCCCCCCCCCCCACGGACGAACCCCCCGCCGACTGCTGGGTGCCCCGCAGGGTCAGTTTCCTGCCGGGGTCCGCGCCCTTCGGCTGCAGATAGCGGCGGGCACCAACCGTGACTAGCCTGATGCCACCCACGACCAGGCCATCATATTCAGAAGGACGTGCAGTGTGGAAGGCGACGCGGCGGTGAGCAGTTCGACGGCGAGCAGCAGCGCAGTACCCAGCAGAACAGTTCGACGCACGGACTGAGCGTGCGGTTGCCCTCCCCTCTATTCCTCCCCTTCTCCTCCTCCTCCTCGTGGCCTTCGTTGGCCTTCGTTGGCCTTCTGAACGGTAGTTGCGCGCGTACATGCGACGCACTGGCTTGCTGTGCGGGCTTCTGTTACTCAGCAAGCTTCCAGCGTCCCCCAGTCGGAGCTGCCTCTGATACTGGACTAGAACTTTTTTTAGTGAGTAGACTTATCTCTTCTTTCCCCAGCTCCTGGTTCCCACCTCCGCCCGTTCTCTCTGTTGCATGTGATCGGTGTTTCGTCTCGCTGGCCACCTGAGTCAGGGGAGATATACTGGCGCTGGTATCCATGCTTTCCCGATGCCCGCGCACGCGAGTTCAGGCCACTTTTGGTCCTGGTGCTAGTTCTGGTGGCTTGAACCGCCGTTGGGTGCAGCCGTGCTTTCCTGCGGGGCAGGGGGCACCGCGGTCCATCATACCTGCCAGCGTGTCATCAGGCTTGCTGTTCCCTTGTCTGCCGTCCCCCTGTTGCTGCGCGCTGCTTGCCGTGGCCTTCCTCGCTCCTGCTCTGCTTCTCCTTGGCTTGTTTCTTCTCCCTGCTCTTGCTGCTGCTGTCCACGCGTGGTGCTCAGTTGTTCGCACCCGGCTGCCCGGGCCTTCTACTTGCGTCGGGGGAAATTCCCAGGTGGTCATGGGTGTTAGTGAAATATTCACGTCTGCCAGTTTCCCCTGTCCCCGAAAGCGCGTCTTGGTTCGCCTGGTGCAGGTTGGCCTGCGCGCCTGTTCAGGGCACAACGTGGTTTCTGCTCCCCCCTCCGTCTGCGCCAGCGCCTTCGTGCCACCAGGGGAAAGGGGGGGAGGCGGTCCCGCGGCAGGACAGCCTGCCGACTCCACGGTCGCATCCCTGACGCTTGCATCGCGTCGTTGGGGTCCTGGCGTGTGAGGAGACAGCACGACGGTGACTCTCGGCGGGGTGGCGGCGTGGCCCGCGCCGGGCGTGCATCTTCCCACCAACGTGGCGCACAGCCCCGTGCACAACCGTGTGGGGTCGCATGCTAAAGTGAAAGTGAACGCAGGTAAGGTATCTCTTAGCAGTGAATCAAAAGTTCAAACAGTGAAGTAGCACTACGCTGTTGACGCTACGCAACGCAGGGTGAAGTAGCACTACGCGGTTGACACTACGTTGTTGGCATGAAGAGGAGAGACTGTACGCTTCTAATCTGTGACACTGCGCTGTGACACTGCGCTGATGACAGACGCCTGGGCATGCCCATCATCGATTGCTGCAGGAAAATAACTCTGGATGCCCACATTTGCTTGTGGAAGGGCGTTTCGCAAGTTTGTTCTCCTAGAGGTGCGCCTGTAGGCACCGTGGTAGCATCCGCACCGCCAACTGCTAACGCCCGCCACGTGTGTGAGTAAGGAAAGAACTGACGCCATGCACATAATCCGTAGAGGCACGTGCCATACTTCAAAAGCAGAAATGGGCACCATGGTTCTACCCAGCCCTCCCAAAGTTTGCCTTGGCCATCATGTGGCCGTCTGAGCGGGTCTGGGGGTCTGTTTGGAGCCCTCTTGAGTCGATGTTGGGCTGTCTGCGCGGGTTCTCGGGCCGTTTCGGGGCGGTCTTGAGACGTCTTGGGCCATTTGCTGAGTCTGCTGCCCACGGACTGGGAGTGATTCCGCGGCCGCCTTGATGTTTGGAGCCCGCCAGACCCCCCCCCACCCGCCGCCAGACGTCCTGGCCTATGCTGCCACACAGAAACGAGCACAACGTTACGACGACGACCACGCCAATGCTAGGGAGTGGACCCCGCGTTACGGCCCGCACACTCAAAGAAGATTGCTTATAACCGATCTGCTAGGAAGCGGGCCCCGCTTTGCGGTCAGCATTCGTTTGTCTTTTTGACATGACTCCCTCTTCGCCTTCCCAGGCATATTCCGATACATATATATATATACACACACTATAACGCACATGCTTCTCAGCGCTGCTTCAAAGGAGTCCTGCCAAGAGGTATTCCGTAACACAGCCAGTCTGGGTCATTCCAGGCATGAATTTGTTTGCTGCTGGCGAACACGGACCTTCAGCAGAAACTATTTACAACAGATCTTTGCAGCACGTCAGGCATACAACTTTTGCTTGAGTCTGTTGCCGTGCTGGAAAAAGTCCTGGGGTCGTCTTGGGTCTCTGTGAAGCTTATCCGATGCGATCCGAAGCTGAGCAACATTCATACGTAAATTAATATTGGTTTCCTCAGGTATGTAAACATGATTTTCGTCTTTTAGAGCCTCGCTGGAGGTCCTTGGAGGCGCCTCTTGGAGTCTTCTTGCGGCCAGGGCGTCCTGCAGCCGTTTGGGGGGCTCTCTTGGAACCGTCTGGAGGCCACAAAGAGCGCCGGAGAGCAGCAATTGGGTGGACGATTTCTTGCGTGTGGGTGGGCCATCGAGGGAGGAGAGAATCCCCACCAAACAACATAAAAGCATGTTACAACACGCCCAAAGCTGCCGCTCGCACGGTGGTGTACATAGTGACCTATGCGTGGACATCTATATATGTATATGATTCAAATATTTGTAGATGTAGAGGTTCATGTGTGTATATTTATATGCACATGCATGTTCAACCGTGTAGGTGTATGCTTACCTATGCATATGAGTATGAAGCAGTATCTGTATATGTATGCGTATGTGTATTTGCGTATGCACTTGTACACGTATATGTATATGCATGCGTGTATGCTTATGTCTATGCGTATGCAGTTGCATCTATGTGTGTGTGCATGTCTCTGTATATGCATATCCGTATGTATAGGTGTTTGCATCGAAGTATATGCGTACGTGTGTTAATGCGTATCTTGGTATATGCACATGTACATGTATTTGGATGTATACATGCATGTGTACATGTGCGTGTGTTTGTACGTATATAAATAAATGCATTTGAAAATATATAGGTTGCTTTGTGTGCATCTATATGAATGCACGTATGTATAATGTGTACGTCTGTGTACACGTACATGTGTACGTGCATGCATATGTATGCGTATGCGTTTGTAGTTGTATCTGTAGGTGTGAATGAATATGTATACATGTATGCATATCTGTATGTGCATATGTAGGGATATGTGTATATTCGTTTGTTGCAGTATTCGTATTTCTATATGTGCATCTGTGTATATGTATATGGGTATACACGTTTCTATGTAGTTGTGTATACCTTTGAATGTATATATATATATATATGTGTATATGTTTGTGTATATACGCATGTACGTAGATGTGTGTTTGCATGTCCATGAATATGTGTATTTTATACATACATGTGTGTGCATAGGAATCCGTATATGTGCATACTTATGTTTATGTGTATAAGTCAATGTATATAGGTATCGAGGTGCGCGCATGTACTTTTTTCATATATACATATATATATATGTATATATATGCATATATGTACATGGTCGCCCCCCCCACGTCGCCAGCGCAAACGAAACGTTTATTCGTCGTCTCCTCGTGCGTCTTCTGCTCTCTTTCCTCTCCTGCTCCTTCTCCTCTTCTTGCGTGATCATTCTCCCCAGTCGGACTACCATGTAAAAGCACATGTCTCGTGACACCTAGTAACCCGAATCCCGAGAAGGTCTCGAGCGGGAGCCTCGTCCCTAAGCAACCTTCAGGATGCCTCGGGCGCTCACTCGTCTGTGAGTGCACTGCGAGGACGTCTCGAGCGGGAGCCCCTCCCAATGGGATCCCCACCTCATGCTGGTCAGCTGGTAATCCGAGGCGGCTGTCGGGATGCCACGCAACACCATTTTTTTTTCGATCGCGACGCGGCAGCGGCAGATCCACGCTCGCGCGTCCGAGCGAGATCGGGGCGCGGAGCTATGAATTGGCCCGCGTGCAAGAGGGTGGGATGACACTTGCGAGCAGCTCCGCGCCCAACTCACACGGGCCAATTGCGTGGAAACCTATGGCACGCGAACGGACTTGTGAATCGAGCACTGGGGGCGTGGAGGGTGGGAAGGAGAGCCATGTAAAAGCACAGGCTTGGTAGCACCTGCGAGGAAATCTCTTCTCGAGCGGGAGCCTCCTGTCTATTGGGGTCCCCGCCTCACGTTGGTAATCCGAGGCGGCCATCGGGACATTGGGAGCCCGAATCCCGAGAAAGTCTCGAGCGGGGTTCTCGTTCCTGAGCGCATTGAGAGGATATCTCGGGGGCTCGCCTGTAAGTAACTCACGCGGAGGTCTTGAGCGGAAACCCCTTCCTGCGGGTCCCCCGCTTCATGTTATTAATCCGAGGTGGCCATCGGGATGCCCTGTAAATCACGGGTTTGGTGACACCTGGGAGTCTGAATCTTCAGAACCTCTGGAGCGAGAGCCTCGATGCTTTGTCGGGCTTTCTTTGCAATCCGAGACGGCCATCCTCAATCAAGCTTGCAAGCGTCGGCAGAGACCAGCAGATACCAGACAGGAAGAGAGCCTCCGTAGTCACAAGGACGACGATGCGGATTACTTCTAGATTAGTGTGGGAGATTCTCGTGTGGGGCCCTACCGTCGGAGTAGTTTCGCCCCAGATCGATGTTTGATGGCCCTGGGGCTCGACAACGAGCCCCGAAGGCCGAAATCTGGCAGGAGGAGCAGGGCGGCGGGAGGAGGAGGGGGAGGAACAGACGCTGCGATCTTTCACGGTTGAAGCCATGTAGGAGGAGGAGGAGGAGGAGGAGGAGGAGGAGGAGGAGGAGGAGGAGGAGACCAGGAGGGGCTCGAGGAGGGAGGAGGAGGAGGAGGAGGAGGAGGAGGAGGGAGGAGGAGGAGGAGGAGAGGAGGAGGGGGAGTAACGGGAGGAGGACTAACGGGAAGGGAGGCGGAGGAGGAGGAGGAGGAGGAGGAGGAGGAGGAGGAGGAGGAGGAGGAGGAGGAGGAGGAGGAGGAGGACAATGGCAGGATTGAAGCAATGAGATCGTCGGAGCTTTGGCTCCGCACGCCGCCCGCGAGGAGTCCCGCCGCGGGACCAGGTCCGCGGAGCAGTGCCCCGGGGACTCCCGCCAGGGCTCCACGTCGCCGACCCTGGGGCCCAGGTTCGCCGAGAAGTGCTCCGGGGACACCGCGAGCACGGCCTCGGCGCCCCTGACGGACGCCGTGCGGAAGGTCCTCTCCGAGGACCCCGGCCGCGGAGGGGCCCGGGAGGTCCTGAAGGGCGTGCCGCGGAGGCACACGACGGGCAACCTGCTGTCCGAGCTCGGGGCGCCAGGCTCTCCGACGAGGGGGTGAAGTCGAGACAGCGAATCGTTGGCCCTCGGGGCGACCGTTCGTGGCCACGGCCCGGGCGCAGCTGGGAAAAAGCTGGCGCCCTCGGGCCCCCATGATCACCACCCACCAAGCCACCCCAACCCAGCCCGAAGCCCTCAATTTGCCTTCCATTTCCAGTGGGGGGGGGGTCGGGGAACGCTGGAAAAACACATGGTATCCGTACCCCCCCCCCCAACCCGAAGTTCGGGTCAAGCTCGGGTCTTCGGGCTGGGTTGGGGGGGTCTGGTAGGTAGTCACATGAGGGGTCCGGGGGCTGCCTTCGAGGTGCCTCTCTTGCCTCTCCTCGCCCTGCCTCCGCCAGGCGCGAAGTGGCCGAGCCAGGGGCGCTCGGTGGAGCGTCGCCCCAGCCTGGGGCGCAGGCTGAGCATCGGCACCCTGAGCATCGACAGCCTGGAGCCGCACGACGCGGGCCCGACGCGCGGGAGCAGCGCGGACCCAGCCGGCGCGGGGCCCTTCTGCCTCAGGGAGGTCTGCGGGCGGGGCCAGGACGGGGCCAGATCGCTCCAGGGCGCTCTCGTAGTTTCGGGGCGGTCTCCTGCTCCTGCTCCTGCTCCTGCTGCTCCTGCTGCTCCTGCTGCTCCTGCTGCTCCTCCTCCTCCTCCTCCTCCTCCTCCTCCTCCTCCTCCTCCTCCTCCTCCTCCTCCCTTCCCCCTCTTACACGCTCTGCCTCCTTCTCCCTTCCTCCTCCCCTTCTGTCCAGAGCGTCCCGGGGCGGTCTCACAGTTTTGGAGCGCGCCGGGCCCCGCGGGCGTTCCGGAAGGGCCGCGGCGCCCGATGCGTCCTCCGGAGCCGCAGGATCTGAGTCAGGATGGGTGGCATGGGTTGGGCGACGCTCCGCAGAGAGAGGCCGAAGCCCCGACAGTACCCCACGCGACGACGATTCTGCCCCGGCCCCACTCTTTCCCCTGCCATGGCCTCGTCGTTCGGCTGCGTGCACGCAAGAGCGACTTTTCGCCGGAGGGGCGCTCGGTGCGGGGACATGGGGGCCCCCAGACGGTGGAGTGCGACGCGGCAGCAGGGGCCTGCGCTCGGGCTTGGCCTCCCCCCCCCCCCGCCTGCCCCCCCCCCGCGCCACCCGACAGCCGCGCACCAGGCGCCACTCCTGCCTGGGGCCCCTCCTGCCCGACGCATCCTCGTCAGGGGGCCACATGCGAACCCTACCCCTCGCCCCCACGATTTCTGAGGGGGAGGGGGGGGTTCACTTCGCTCGGGAGCTCCCGAGCAAAGTGGACCCCACCCTCCCCCTCAGAAATCGTGGGGGGGTAGGGGTAGGGTTCGCACCCAGACCCCCGACGTCATGATTTTTTCACAGCGTCGACCCCCAGAGGTCTGGACCCCTTCCCCAGGACCGGTTTTTCATCCTGAGTCGTTTTTTGACGGTCCCGAGGCCCGGTGAGGGACCCTGGAGGCCGAAAATTAGAAAAAACCTCCCGTCATTATTTTTTTATTACTCGAGGCGGTCTGGGCATGTGGCCCCCCACTCGCCCCGCAGGTCTGGAAGGGCGAGCCCCCGGGCCTGCGCCTGCAGGCGTCCATCCGCAGCTGGCACCACGGGGCCGCGCTGCGGCAGGCCGAGTCCTGGCCGCTCGGCATGTCCTTCCTGGCCACCGTCAGCCTGCGGACGGGCCTGCTGCCCGGGGAGGACTCGGAGGCCCCCTAAGCGGTGTGGGTGGCCGCCCCGCGTGGTGCTTCCCGCCCCGTCGTCGTCGTCGTCGTCGTCGTCGTCGTCGTCGTCGTCGTCGTCGTCGTCGTCGTCGTCGCCGTCGTCGTCGTCGTCGCTGTCGTCGTCGTCGTCGCCGTCGTCGTCGTCGTCGCTATCGTCGTCGTCGTCGTCGCCGTCGTCGTCGTCGTCGTCGTCGTCGTCGTCGTCGTCGTCGTCGTCGTCGTCGTCGTCGCCCTCTCGCACCCAGGCTTTCCAGTTCTTCTGTTGCATCTTCGGGGGGCCTCGCCTCTCCCCAAAGATTGGTGTCTTTTTGGGGGGCCCTGCGCGTGCTCGATGCGGACTCGACGCGGACTTGGCGTGGATCCGACGCGGCTTCGACACGGATTCGGCACGGATCCGACGCGTCCGACATGGATTCGACACGGATTCGACGCGGACAGGGCCGCGACGGGACAGAGGGAGGGAGGGAGGGAGGGAGGGAGGGAGGGAGGGATGAGGAGGATGAGGAGGAGGAGGAGGAGGAGGAGGAGGAGGAGGAGGAGGAGGAGGAGGAGGAGGAAGAGGAGGAGGAGGAGGAGCAACAGACAAGGTCCCCCGAGGATGCAGCATAACAGTTCTTTCGCGCTGGGCGCTTCCGCCCGCTCGCGGGCCCCGAGGCCCTGACGGATCGAGCCGGCTCGAGAAAGGCTGCAGAAGGCTGCCGTCTGGGGCTTTGGCGTCGCGTTCTTCTGTGCGGCGGCTCGTCGGGGGCGGCCAAGAGGGGGGGGACTGTGAAGGGGGGGGATCATGGCCGGGGCCATGGAGTTGGCCCCCTCTTCTTTCAGGAGGGGAAAAAAACACACAGACACAATGAATCGTCGATTTCTCAGAAAATATGGGAAAGTATGGGAAGTGGGCGGGAAGACAGAAACCCAGAAAATATTGGAAAATATGGGGAATCATTTTATTTGTGTGTATTGATTTGTGTGTCCTGGGGCCCCTTCATTCTTGTTCCAATGCGTCCCTCGACCCCCCCTGGGCCGCGCACAGGCGCATGCCCTGGGCCATGCTGTGCGACCCCCCAGCTTTGACGCCTCCGACTGTGTGGTGACCGCACCGCCCGGTGAGTCAGTGAGGATTGGGCCACCGCGCGGTTTCGGGACGTCGCGGGCGACCAGGGCCTCCGAGGTCCCAAGACCGTGTGCTTCAGGAGGGAAAAAACATACAGACACAATTCATCGTCGATTCCCAGAAACATGCGGGAAGTGGGGGGGAAGACAAAAACCCAGAGAGTATGGGACAATATGGGGGCTCCTGTTATTTGTGTGTATTTATTTGTGTGTCCCAGGGCCTCTTCAGTGGTGACGGACCGCGCGGTGAGGTCTCTTGGTATTTCGAGGTCACCACGCGGCCAGTCACCACACACGCAGTTTTGGGGGTCCCCGGAGAGGACGCGTCCCTGGTGCACCCGGCGTCCTCGGCGCGGCTGCTCTGGGAGGTGCTCAGCGTGGTGCTCGTGCTCTACGACCTCGCGGCCTCTCGGAGCGGACAGAGCTGCACAGCCGCAGCGTGCCGGAGCTCCGCGCGGATTTCTCGGATCGGCGCTGCGCCTCGCCCCCCCCCTTCGGAGGCTGATAGACTTCCTACCCTGAAACGTCGACTCGCGAATTGGCCGTGTTCGGTCCGCGAGCGGGCGTCGCGGCCGCCAGTTTCGCGGGTCCAGGTCCGTCGGTGTCGGTCCCAGGCCGTGTTCACCAAAGGGAGGTTAACTAAAATCAGGAGGGAAAAAACACAGACACAATTCATCGCCGATTCCCCAGAAAATATGGGAAAAGATGGGAAGTGGTGGGGAAGGCAAAAACCCAGAACATATGGGGAATCTTTTCATTTGTGTGTCTTTGTTAGTGTGTCCCAGGGCCCCTTCAATTGAGCGCAACCCCAGGCAGCATGCAGGCCTGAAACGTTTCCAGGGCAACTGCAGGAGAGGAGGCGAGCAGCCGAGCTTCTCCTCAGGAGGAGGAGGAGTGGGAGGAGGGGGAGGAGGGGGAGGAAGAGGAGGAGGAGGAGGAGGAGGAGGAGGAGGAGGAGGAGGAGGAGGAGGAGGAGGAGGAGGAGGAGGAGGAGGAGGAGGAGGAGGAGGAGGAGGAGGAGGAGGAGGAGGAGGAGGATTGGGAATCTTTTTATCTGTGTGCATCTATTTGCGTGTCCCGGGGCCCCTTCATGAAAGGAGGTCTGTCCACTGGCGGCCCCTCCCTCTGCCACGGCACCTCCCCTTCGCCGCGCCCGGCGCGCTCCGCGCCTGCCGTGGCAGGAGGAGGAGGAGGAGGAGGAGGAGGGGGAGGAGGAGGAGGAGGAGAGGACGAGGAGGAGGAGGAGGGGGGGAAAAGGGGGAGGAGGAGGAGGAGGAGGAGGGGGAGGAGGAGGAGGAAGAGGAGGAGGAGGAGGAGAAGGAGGAGGAGGAGGAGGAGGAGGAGGAGGAGGGGGGGGGCCGGGCCCCGCTCCGAGGAGTCCGCGCGGAGCTCCAGCAGTCTCTGGACGCCCGGGGTGGGCACGGAGAGAATGGGTGCTCCAGATCTCGTCATAAAAGGGATCCTCCTCCTCCTCCTCCTCCTCCTCCTTCTCCTCCTCCTCCTCCCCTCCGCCTCCTCCTCCTCCTAAGAGCCATCTCAGACCCCCCCCCCCCCGTGCGAGAACCCTCCAAAAACCTCGTCCCCAGACCCCCCTCCAGGCCCTCCAAGACAGCCTGGAAGAGACCCCCCGCCGAAACGAGACCCCCCTCCCTTGATTACGAAATCTGGGGTACGAGGTCCAACAGCAGTTCCTGTTCATTCTGAGCAGGATTCGCTGTCCACGCCGCCGCGGCCTGTGTCCACTCGAGACAGAAGGCCGCCTGCCCAGCAGCGGCCGCTGTTGGTTTGGGACGACATTTGTTGTTGGGCAGTGTACCCATTCTTTCGGTACCCATTTCGGGTGTCCAAACAGTTTAGAGTGCCGTTTTTCATGCATGCTCCGCGTGCGGATCATGTGTTGAAAATACAGGGATCTAGCATTGAAGCAACGATGAATTCATGCATGAATTTATTCCTCAATTAATCATGTATTAGAAATCCTACAGTCTGAAAAGTCCGATGTGTTACAACTGCCCTGTGTGGTGATTATGTTTTTTCCTGCCTCTAGGCCTTGCCCATGATGTCGTTCGACTGGCCCTCGGAGCCCACGGCCGACGCCATGGACTGGGTCAGCAGGCTGTTCTGGACCGCCGACGTCGCCGCCTCCTTCCTCACGGGCGTCTACATCAACTTCGAGCTGGAGATGCGCTTCGAGAAGGTTGCCAAACACTACGCCAGAGGCTGGCTGCCTTTCGACGCCGGCATCGTCCTGTCCGAGTGGGTCTCCCTCGCCGTCGCGTCGAGCGTGCGCGGGTCGAGGGCAGGCGAGGCGATTTTCGGTGTGCTTCGCTTGTGTCGGCTGGCGCGCATCTTCCGACTCCTCAAGCTCGAGGTGCTGCTGTACAATGTGAGCTCGGTTCTCAATTCGAAGGCCGCGTGGCGTAGCTTCGGCACGTTCAGGGTGATCCTGTACTTCGTCGTGGGTGTCCACATCGTCGCCTGCGGCTGGTCCTTTGTGGGCCGCGGCGGGAGCGACGGCTGGGTCGCCGGATTAGTGTGTGTTTGACATGCGATGCGCGATCACAGATCGTAGTGATCGGGTGATCACGCGGTTGCCGATCGCATGATCGATTCGGCTTCCTCGCGCGGTCGCTCTGCTCCGAGGGCCGCAGGCGACCCGAGGAGGAGGAGGAGGAGGAGGAGGAGGAGGAGGAGGAGGAGAAGGAGGAGGAGGAGGAGGAGGAGGAAGAGGAGGAGGAGCCACAAAGGGAGTGATGGGTGTGCCACGAGGCCCTCAATCAAGCAGGAGCCTGGATGCGTGATCGATCCGTGCTCGGCGCGGTGGTCATCGTGGTCAGGGCGGCGATCGGATCGCGTGATCGGCGGGCGTGATCGGCCGAGTGATCCGTCAGACACCAATCAGGAGGGAAAAAACACACAGACACAATTAATCGTCGATTCCCCAGGAAAACATTGGAAAATATGGGAAGTGGGGGGGGGGGGGGGAAGACACAAGTCCAGAAAATATGGGAAAATATGGGGCATTCTCTCATTTGTGTGAATTTATTTGTGTGTCCTGGGGCCCCTTTAACCAAGGTCGTCAGGGAGGCCGCCGACCGCCCCGACTTGGACTTGTACATGCTGTCGGTGCACTGGGCCGTCTCGCAGCTGCACGGAAGCAGCGGGGTTAGCCCCGGCAGCGTAGGGGAATCGTTGTACGCCACCCTCGCCCTCCTGGTGGGCCTCGGGTCGTCCTGCTTCCTCGTCAGCTCTGCCACGGCCGCGATGCTGCAGCGGGAGCAGAGTCGCTACTCCACGACCAAGCAGCACCTGCTGATGCTCTCTTACCTGAGGAAGAACCACATCTCGTGGCAGCTGTCCCTGGCCGTAAAGAAGTGCTTCGACATCCACATGCGGGAGCGCAGGGGGGCCGAGGAGCACAAGGCTGCCGAGGCCAAGGAGCTCTTGTCGTTCTTGCCAGTCAACCTCCAGATGGACATGGCGGAGGAGATGCGGCGGCCGGTCCTCCTCGAGCACAACTTCCTGGGCGACATCAACGCGGGGAACCCGCGCATCTTGCGGCAGATCTGCCACGATTGCTGCTTCGAGAAGGAGGTGCGACCTGCCGAGATCGTGTTCGAGGCTGGCGATGCCTGTGCATCCATGTACTTTGTCACGTGGGGTGACTTCGAGTACGCCCGAGCCTGCCATGACGCGGGCCTGCTCCCCAAGGTGGTGGGAGCGAGTCCCGTCAGGAGGCGCCCAGATACCCCGTTTGCCCAGGTCATAGGGCGGATCACGGGCGGGCTCCTGGACAAAGCCGCCGATGCGGAACCAGAGTGGAAGGGCGATGGCGGCGTGCAGTTCTTGGATCGGGCGAGCTGGGTCAGCGAAGCCGTTCTGTGGACCAAATGGGAGCACCGCGGCGAGCTGAAGGCGGCGGCTGGCGGAGCGCTGCTGCAGCTCGATTACATGAAGTTCGCCACGATGCTCTCGCAGCACCACGACGGCGCCTGCGCGTACGCGTGCGGGTACGGGCGTAAGTTCTTGGAGCGGCTGAACAAAAGCCCCGAGTCCAGCTGGTCCGACGTGCTGCACATCAGGGTCACCAAGGAGGAGGTGCTCGAGGACGAGCCGGACGACAAGCCAGCTGACCTGACGGCCCTCTCGGACGAGGAGGTTGTCCTCCCCGGGAATTGGCCCCTGAAGGCGCAGCGCCGCCCCAGCAAGCACAGGGATCTGAACGCCTGGGGCCAGCACTACATCTTCGTCTCCCACCACAAGGCTGGCGGAGGCACCGAGGCCGCATTGATGCAGGAAGGTCTCGAGCGCATCATCGAAAGTGATCCAGACTTGCCAGGCTATGGCATGATGGCGCCTGTCTTTCTCGACTCGGAGGACCTCGGCGATCTGAGCGATCTGAAGGCCCACGTGCGCAATGCCTTCAATTTGGTGCTGCTCCTTACCGAGGAGGTGCTGAAGCGACCCTGGGTGTTGGTTGAGATCGTCACTGCCCACCAGTCTGGTGTCAACATCGTGCCTGTTGAGATCTACAAGCGGGAGAACAACTCGTTCAAGTACCCCGACGACGAGTTCTACCAGCGGCTCCGCGAGCAGACCCTCCTCTCCAGGGCGGAGAACGACCTGATCCTGGCCGAGGGGATCACCGCGGAGGAGCTCGAGAAGGCGCTCCGCCACGTCTTCAAGAAGATCGCGGTGCCCTTCTCCCCGCACAAGTCCAGCTCCTAGTGGGCCCCGGAAACGGCAGGGCAGTTTTTTTCACCGTTTCCAAAAACATGTCCCTTGAAAGTGGAAACGGCAAAACAACGGCGACCGGACACGGCAACAAAAACGGCTCCAGGGCCGGAACCGGGGCCGGAACCGGTCAGAAAACGGCGACGGAGCCGGTAACAACAACGGCAAAACGCAGCCTGTAACAGAAACGGCAAAACGCAACCGGTAAACAAAAAAACGGCCCGGTCGTTTCCAGGGCCCACTGAGGTCCAGCTTCGTGCGCGAGGCCGAGCTCACGGACATCCTCCGCCGCTGCACAGACGGCCCCTCGCGCCCGGGCCCCGGCCGGCTGCGCGCGCCGGGCGGCGACTTTGCCGGCATCGTCGCCTCGGCGCCGGGGCCTGCCCAGGACGGGGCGGGGCAGGCAGGCAGGCAGGCGCGCGCGGGCGCGGGAGGGGGGAGCCGGAGGCTTTCCAAGAGATGCTCGCTGCTCCCCTGGCGGTCACGGGCCTTGCCGGAAGGGGGGGGGGGGGTCAGAGTTCATTACGCAGCGCTGCGCGCCGGCGGCGCCGTCCGGGAGTGCGTGGCACATGGCCAGTTCCCGACGGCGTCGGCGCGGCTCGTGGCGTCACCTGGGGGGGAGAGGGGCCGGTCTGGGGCGGCATCGCGGTGAAGAAGGATATGGGCGGGGCCCAGGCACACGTTCACCACCACCACTTCCAGAGCCCCCTCCCCCACCCAGGAGAGAGGAGAGAGAAGGAGGAGGAGGATGGAGAAGAGAGGGGGAGCAGAGGTGGTAGTGGTGGTGGTGTGTGTGTGTGTGTGTGTGTGTGTATATATATATATATATATATGTATATGGTCCAGGGCTTGGCCCCCCCCCCACCCCCCCAATGCTGATGCCATTGGGCCCCCCCCCCCGCGCGATGGTCCCCCCGCCCCCCCTGTGGGCGTGGCGTGGTGCTGCGCTGCGGTGTCCCCCTCCCCCCCCCTGTGGATGTGGTGTGGTGCTGTGGTAGTTCAGATCGGGGGAGCGTAAGACCCGGGTTTGCCGGGACTCGGGTTCGCCACCGTTTTTTGACGACCGCGCCTCGGATTTTGATGAGGAGGAGTTTCGTGGGATGTCTGCAGCGGGAGGCCTCGTCAAAATGCAGGCTCGGCCTCGTCATTTTTTTGACGACCTCGTCGGGGATTTCCGAGTCCCCCGTAACCGGGTCTTACGTCTCCCCGATCAGAGGGCGTCGTCGTCGTCGTCGTCGTCCTCGTCGTCCTCGTCGTCGTCGTCGTCATCGTCGTCGTCGCCGTCGTCATCGTCGTCATCGTCGTCGTCGCCGCCGCCACCGCCGGCGTCGTCGCCGCCGCAGCCGTCGTCGTCGTCGCCGTCGTCGTCGTCGTCGTCGTCGCCGTCGTCGTAGTCGTCGTCGTCGTCGTCGTCGTCGTCGTCATCGTCGTCGTCGTCGTCTCTGGGACCATACCATCTGGGGGGGGGGGGGCCCGAGGAATCCTGGGACCATACCATCTGGGGGAGAGGGGGGGGGGCCGTGGGCCCGGAGCCCGGGACCATATATATATGTGTGTGTATATATATATATATATATTCTTGAGGCCCGCAAAATAGGCTTCGAGCATCTTTGAGGTGGGGGCGGTGCGCCGATGTCGGGAGGGGCCAGACCCCCCCCCCCCGACAGGGGCCAGACCCCCTTCGCCCCGCGCTCTCCGCTTGCGCCCGTCCGATCGCCGCCGCCGCTGACGCCAATCATGGCTCGTGGGATGAGCTTCTCTCTCTGTGGCCCCCGCCGTCCTGGCCCACATCGACCAGAGTGTAGCCCTTGGCCTGGCCTTCACTTACAGGGTCAGGACCTCTTTCCTTCTCAGCCCAGTGCCGACGGAGCATTCAGGATTCAAGGTGTGCCCCTGCTCGAATCAACGAAGAACAAACGACATCAACATAAACTTTTGGCGCTCCGCGCGGATTTCTGGGATCTGCGCCAGGCCCCCCCTGGCGGCGCCTCCGGCGCCGTCCCTGGCGCGCTCCGCGCGCCAGGGAGGGGGTTGCGGCGCAGATCCAAGAAATCCGCGCGAAGCGTCAAAAAATTATGTTAATGCCCATTTGTGTTTCTTCTAGAACATCATTCCAGCGGGATGTCCACATCTTATGTACACTCGCCGATCAAAGATTCAGGTAACCCGATCAGCAGCGGGGGTAGGGTTCGGAATTCGTCGAACACGTGGCGAAATCCGAACCCTACCTCCGCCTCTTGTCGATTCAGGAGAATCGACAGTTGGTGGGGATAGGGTTCGGATGTCGCCACCAGTCATTCCCGCGCGTGCGCCTCTTCCCCTCCCGCTTGTAGCTTGTAGAGTCACCCGGGGCGTTGGTAAACTGATCGCCCCCATCAAACGTGACGGGCGGGTCTGACATGCACGGGTGAGGGCGTTTCTAGACGACTGGCCAGATCCTCCCCCTCCCCTCCGAGGAGGGGGGGGCATCTGATATGGAAGGGGAGGAGGAAGAGTACGAATGAGTATGTGCCATATGGCTACGTATTTGTTTGCCTCCCCAAGGATTTCACCAATGGCAAGGTAGCCGCGCAGGTGTCGTCCATCGACTGCTCGGGCGCTGCCGGCAACCCGCTGTTCTCGCTGACCACGCCCCACCGGCGCTCTCCTGCGCTGCCGGGCGCGCTGCTCGCTGCTGGCATGAGCTGAGTTCCAGGGCCCCTCGACCTTGATTTTAAGTCGGGCCTGTCCCTCTACAGGGGGAATATTCAAAAATAGCCAGAACATAGTCTGGGGACTTTTTCTTATAATAAATCGTATTTTTGGTCATCTTTGGAGTATTTCTGGAGTATCTTGCATTTTTCGCCCAACATCCCCCTGTAGGGGGACAGGGCCGACCTAACCTTGATATCTTAACACTTGAATCCCAGCAATCCTGTTATCGCTTGCATGCTCTCCTCCACTCCCGTCCTCCTGCCTCCTCCACTCCTCCCTTCCTACTCCGCGTCTCTCTTCCCTCCCCTTCCGTGCCATATGATGCGACGGGTTTCATCCCTCGACGGCACCGGTGTAGTTATCTTCCTCGGCGTGGCTTCGACGTGAGACGGCTCCACAGAGTCACCGTCATAGCTTGCTTACGCGCCCCTCCCTGCGACGCTCTGGACTCCACGGCGTCTGGTCTGTAGCCGCATGGCGCTCTGGACTGGTCGGGCATTCCTGGCTTCTTGAACCGACTCTGATCACGTCTCACAGGCGCTCCCCGCGCTCGCTGCTGGCATGAGCTGAATGCCAGGGTCGACCGCCATTCTCATCTGCCTCGCGCGCCTATTCATCGTCGTCGTCAGCCTCCGTCTTGTTTCCTCCTGCCGAATGCTTCCCGATCGCACCACTCGACGTATCCCCCCGAACGCCGTCCGGGCGGTTCGCCCTCCAGACCTCCACGCAACGCGGCTCTCGCCTTGGCCCCTGGCGCGCTGATCTGCAGCACGTCCAGCAGTCACGTGCATGGAGGGCGACCCCTGTCCAGAACGAGGCTCTCGCTCTGGCTCCCCAGTCGCGCCCGTCTTGCGGCCTCCAGCAGCCACGCGAGCGGAGGGCTGCTCCTCTTGAAAATCGCGCCGTCGCTTTTGAGGCTTCCTCGGCACGGACGATGGGCATGTTTTCCACCACCACCACCACCATAAGTTGGAGGGGGAAGGAGGGGAAGGAGGTGGAGGAGGAGGAGGAGGAGGAGAACGAGGAGGAGAAGGAGGTGGAGGAGGAGGAGAAGGAGGTGGAGGAGGAGGAGGAGGAGGAAGAGGACCCCCTCCCCCTCCAACTTGTGGTGGTGGTGGTGGTGGTGGAGAACAAGTCCATCAACGGACCCCCACAACTTTGTCGAATGGCCCTTCGGCCCATCCCGCGACCCTGCCTGGCTTTTGGGCCCTCGGCCTCCAGCATGCTCTTATTGGGACGTGGCGGGAGGCCCCCCCTCGGGGGCCTCGTGCAGGAGGCAGCTCCTGGGGGCCTCCTGGGGGCCACTTCGGGGCGGGTAAAACAGGGCCGGATCGCGAAACCGACGAGGTCATCCCAGACGCTTGTCTCAAGGACGCTGACGACATGGTTTATGTCTGCACGTCATGCCCTCCAGAGCCACGACGCTGCTTCCCGGTGATGTCCTCTAGAGCCACGACGTTGTCCTCCAGAGTAAAACAGGGCTAGGATCGGGAGAAATCGCTCCAGAGCGTTCCGGAGCGCTCTCGGAGCGTTCCGGAACGCTCTGAGAGCGGCCGCGGCGCCCAATACATCCTCCAAACCCGCCGATTCTCAGAGATTCCGAGTTATCCCGATCCGATGTTGTCCCGATCTTCGCGTCGTTTTGGCGGGGGCCATCTTGGGCGTCCTGGCGCGCCCGCTCGGCGATCCGAGGCCCTCGTGGACCGCCTCGGGCCTTCGGGGCCTCGCTCGGCCTGGCGTGGGGCCCTCTCGCGGTGCCGAGAGAGGGAGCCGTGCGACGACCCCCCCCCCCGGCCCTCCGCGGGCACGCGCTGCGCGCCCAAGGAGCTCTGTCAGGAGGGGGAAAAAACCACACAGACACAATTAATCGCCGATTCCCCAGAAAATATTGGGAAATATGGGAATCGGGCGGGAAGACAGAAATCCAGAAAATATTGGAAAATATGGGGAATCCTTTTTGTGTGTATTTATTTGTGTGTCCCAAGGCCCCTTCACTCTGGCAATGTGGGGTCCAGGCCCCGTAAGGAATGCTCGGGAGCGGGGGCTTGAGGCGCTGAGGCTCAGGGAATGGAGCGAGGGGCCCGAGAGCACTCAACGGGCGAAGAACGGTATAAGATAAACTTTTCCGCCGTCGGGGGCACCTGCCCCAGGGCGGCTGGAAAGTCTATACCCCTACGGTGCCACCGTAGGGGTATAAACTTTCCAGCCGCCCAGGGGCAGGTGTCCCCGACGGCGAAAAAGTTTATTTTATACCGTTCTTCGCCCGTTAATACACTCCGGCTCCTGCCCGAGGGCACGGTGGTGGATACTTGGGCACCTGTCGTGCGCATGGAGGGCTGTCCCTGTTCAGAGCGGGGCTGCCGCCGGGAGCCCCTGAACTTTAGGACCCCTCCCTGTCGCATGGCGTATGCCTCGAAGGACGGAGGGCCTATTCTTTCAGAGAGCGGCTCCCGATGGACCTGCGGGTCTATGGGGCGCTCGTCTTTCATGGGGGTGCGCCTTGCGAGGTGAGAGAGATGGCTCGTGGGGACTCGTGCGGAGGCTACCTGGAACCTGAAGGCGTGCTGCCGCATCGTTGGTCCAGAGTTTTCCCCACGCGCTTCGGAGGGTTAAGGTTTTCTTCCCTCCTCCTCCTCCTCCTCCTCCTCCTCCTCCTCCCACCTCCTCCTCCTCCTCCTCCTTCTCCTCCTCCTCTTCCTCCTCCCGCGAAGCTCACTCGCTCACCTCCCTCTTCCCCTCCTCCCCTTCCTCCCCCCACCCGCGCTCAACACATGCGCGGCGCGCACACGAGACACGCGTCTGCTTACGGCCGTTCGCATGCACGCACACACACAAACACACAAACGCACAAACACACAAACACACAAACACACAAACACACAAACACACAAACACACAAACACACAAACACACAAACACACAAACACACAAACACACAAACACACAAACACACAAACACACAAACACACAAACACACAAACACACAAACACACAAACACACAAACACACAAACAAAACACACAAACACACAAACACACAAACACACAAACACACAAACACACAAACACACAAACACACAAACACACAAACACACAAACACACACACATACACACATACACACATACACACATACACACATACACACATACACACATACACACATATACACACATACACACATACACACATACACACATACACACACACGCACGCACCATACCACGCTAGTGCACGCCCGTCGTGTTCACTGCGCAGTGCACCCACGACGTACGCGCTACATGCTGGGCACACATGAGGCACACGTCCCGACACGGCCGCACACGCATCATCCACATACAAATGACATGCCATACACGAGACGTGCATGTATGATTCGCAGTGCGTGGCAGGCATGGCACTTTCTCGACACCAGAGGGGATGCGCATGGGGTGGTCTCTCAGCGCGGCCTCTATGCGTGCCAGGGTCGGAGAGCGTGGCAGGCGTGGCACTTTCTCGGCACCAGAGGGGGTGCGCATTGGGGTGGTCTCCCAGCGCGGCCTCCATGCGTGCCAGGGTCCGAGAGCGTGGCAGGCGTGGCACTTTCTCGACACCAGAGGGGGTGCGCATTGGGGTGGTCTCTCAGCGCGGCCTCTACGCGTGCTAGGGTCGGAGAGCGTGGCAGGCGTGGCACTTTCTCGACACCAGAGGGGGTGCGCAGGGGGTGGTCTCTCAGCGGGGCCTCGATGCGTGCCAGGGTCGGAGAGCGTGGCAGGCGTGGCACTTTCTCGACACCAGAGGGGGTGCGCAGGGGGTGGTCTCTCAGCGCGGCCTCTATGCGTGCCAGGGTCGGGGAGCGTGGCAAGCGTGGCACTTTCTCGACACCAGAGGGGTGCGCAGGGGGGTCTCTCAGCGCGGCCTCTATGCGTGCCAGGGTCGGAGAGCGTGGCAGGCGTGGCACTTTCTCGACACCAGAGGGGGTGCGCAGGGGGTGGTCTCTCAGCGCGGCCTCTATGCGTGCCAGGGTCGGAGAGCGTGGCAGGCGTGGCACTTTCTCGACACCAGAGGGGGTGCGCAGGGGGTGGTCTCTCAGCGCGGCCTCTATGCGTGCCAGGGTCGGAGAGCGTGGCAGGCGTGGCACACCAGAGGGGTGCGCAGGGGTGGTCTCTCAGCGCGGCCTCTATGCGTGCCAGGGTCGAGAGCGTGGCAGGCGTGGCACTTTCTCGACACCAGAGGGGGTGCGCATTGGGATGGCCTCCCAGCGCGGCCTCTACGCGTGCTGCAGGAGAGCGTGCAGGCGTGGCACTTTCTTGACACCAGAGGGAGTTCGCAGGGCGGTCTCTCAGCGCGGCCTCTATGCGTGCCAGGGTCGGGAGCGTGGCAGGCATGGCACTTTCTCGGCACTCTCAGCGCGGCCTCTATGCGTGCCAGGGTCGGAGAGCGTGGCAGGCATGGCACTTTCTCGGCACCAGAGGGGGTGCGCAGGGGGTGGTCTCTCAGCGCGGCCTCTATGCGTGCCAGGGAGGGTCGGAGAGCGTGGCAGGCATGGCACTTTCTCGACACCAGAGGGGGTGCGCAGGGGGTGGTCTCTCAGCGCGGCCTCTATGCGTGCCAGGGTCGGAGAGCGTGGCAGGCGTGGCATTTTCTCGACTCCAGAGGGGGTGCGCATTGGTGTGGTCTCCCAGCGCGGCCTCTACGCGTGCCAGGGTCGGAGAGCGTGGCAGGCGTGGCAATTTCTCGACTCCAGAGGGGGTGCACAGGAGGTGGTCTCTCAGCGCGGCCTCTATGCGTGCCAGGGTCGGAGAGCGTGGCAAGCGTGGCTGTTTGGAAGGCAGCTAGCGACGGGGTGAGCCCCTATCCGAAGGGGAAGAAGGGGGCATGAAAAACTCAACCCTCAACCACCTGCGCCCGGAAAGCGGGTGGGAGTTCTTTCGTCTCATGTGACGGGCGGGTGAGTGTTCGACAATTTGCGAATCCTCACCATGGAGGGTGGAGGAGGGAGGAATAAGGAGGGACA